CGCTCGACAGTCATCAGAATGGAAGATGCGTTCGTCATCGATCCAACCCTCGCATGGTGCTTGATATGTGTCTATAATCCCTTTTTCTTTGTCAGGTGACGTCATCGCTCACCGCTGACTCTTCTCGATGACAATGGTGACGCCCACTTCCACTTGTAACGCCTTGGAAGTCGACGTCTTCGACGGGGTCTTACTCAATATCTTGAGAAGTGGCGGGATTACCCAAACTCTGAGAACTCATGAAAGTTTGATGTGCCACTTCGGCAAGAATGCCCAGACGTCGTAGAAGCTTATAATCAGAAAGATCATGACGCTTTGCGTACCGCGCTTTTCGGCAGTAGCCCGGTAAGCCGGAGGGCCATGAGCTGAGCTCAAGCTATGGCCCTGAGCTGCTATGGTGGTAGAATCACCCGTGTGAGAAACCGCAGAGCTTGCAGGTGCGCTATGGATTGTTTCATATACGTGTACCCCGTTACACCCTCCCCCACTAAAATTGGGAATATCCTCAATTCACATTTAATGATTATACGAGGCCCGCGTGTCTGAGGCACCTTCACGTTCATGAAAACAACTTTTAGCCTTCTCCGCTGTACATGCACTGTGTCTACACACACAAAACACCCAGCTTAGCTGGTAGCGAGGGCGAACGCGGGCAAAGTCCTTCTTCTTCTGCACAAGGTGTATCTACGGACAGTACGTCCGCGGCTTTGCGGGAAGCACATTCCAAGCCCTCGGCAACTGGGCGCGACACAACGCGCCCGCCCCGGGCGACGGATTTCCTCGTCAAGGAGTCGGAGGAAGTCGACTGCAAGTCGGACGCTCTTTCCAAGCATGAGATGACGAGGAAGATGAAGTGCACCAACGGCGCGACGTGAGCCAAGCTCAACCCTGCGGACACCATGTCCGTTCCCCGACCTCTCGGCTTTCGAGGGAAGTGGTATTATTCCCAATCGCCTTGGCGAGGCACAAGAGCAGCAATTAAAGGCTGCTCACAGGGCGGCTCTCCTGCGCTCGTATCCACGTTTGGTCTTAGACCCTCGTGTCGAATACGCCTTCCGCTTGACAAATTTCGCTTCCGAAGCTAAAGACGTGATCTCTCGATCGTTACGCGTCTACGTAGTCGTCCCTCCGGTCACTACCCAAGCTGGCCTTGATCAGCGAGAAACTCTGCGAGCTCGCTTTTTGGTACACCAAGAGATCATACTGGATCGGTATCGCGCTCGACTTCGAGCTCAAAAAAGGGGCGCTCCTTCTCCCACAATGCGGACCATCCCTGTGGTGCTCGCGCCTGGCAAAACCGCTGCAGATGATGATGTGCTCTTTTGGCGATGGGTGCACCGGCACCGAAATCTGTTTTCGCTGTCTACCTAATAGCAAAGCCACAAGGAAGTGGGCGTGCGCGTTGAGCGCCATCTTAGATTCGAGCTCAAGGCGCAACGCCACCTTCCTGCGTATTGCCGCCCTTGAACACCTTTGTATGAAATGGCGGGTCGCACAAGATTGTGCGGTCGTAAATAGGTGCGTGTTACACAGTTAGCGTAATCGCACAGTTGTGTGGCTACACCATAGCAAGAAGCCACCATTGCCAGTAGTAATGCATATTACTATATTCAGTAGGTTTCGCTATATTAATTAGGAAAACCAAGGGTTTAGATATTGGCGGCTCTGCCGCAACTAGAGCTCTGCCGCAACTAGAACAATTACATACAGTCTTGCTTTTGAACAGAAGTGTTCGTTGGCCTTGGTAAGCCTTTAGTACTTAGAAGTAGCAGATTGCAATCCGCTACACTTGCACTGGTTTTTGAAAAGATTGTAAGGTCGGTGACCTTAGCTTAGCTTTCTCTAAGCAAAGAGCTACGGCAGCCCCGCTGTAAGAAGACTCCCGGAGACCCCCCGAAGCGAGCATGCTAATAAAAGCTAGCACTATAGTGTAGCAAAATTCTAAGCGCGGTAGAAAAACGTTGAGCATTCACTTACGTGATATCTATAGAAGCCAAAGGATCTTGAGCCCGAGTGTGTCCGCAGGTTCCATGAAAATGGTGCAATGTCCTGTTCAGTACGTTCGCTCTACAGAAGTGTAGACTTGTGAAAAATAAATGCACGAAATTAATCATACACTTTTGTGCGATTGTAAGCACTCTGAGGTACCACAGATTGGTAAGATTAGTGCTGCATGTTAGCTTCACGACAAGCTAAATGTAGTGTATGTATTGAGCATTAGTTTACTCTTGAATAATTATGTCTTTTTTTTTGGAATTGCAGAATATAGTAAAACCTTTATTACTCTCGTTTTTCTTCCTGGGTGGTCCAATCTCTGTACATTGTATTCGCGAAATCTTTGAGTCAAAGATTTTTTTTGCAAAATGCACAGCTCCCCTGCTGTAACATTTCTCTCTTTATTTGTCAGCTATGCCATCCAGTCCGAAAAATGCGCCTTGATATCTGCAGTGAATTTTTTTGCCGTTGATACTTTTCCTTGCGAAGTATCAATATTCCAACTGGAAAAAGAATATGTTGCTTTCACTTAGAATAAAAAGCCATGTAACAGCATTGATTGTAAAACAGCATCGAGATTCCCGTGCACTCTGCACGGAGAAAGCTTAAGCTCAAAGTTTGCTATAGCAGACGCACAGAGGTTTGATTACTACGCTCCACTCCATGAGAGTTTAAACATAAAGACATCGATTTAACTCTAATTACTTATATATAGGGTTTTCTCTATCTTGACCAAGCACAAATTAACGTTTACTATATCTCATGACAAATCTGTATTATTCGACGTGGCTACAGTAAACTGAGCCTCTCTTCAACAGAGTCCCACCACCTTCATAAGAATTGATACATCGAGACTTATCGACGTCCATACTTACACAAAAGCAAGATGTAAATTTCGTAGAATTGTAAGATCTTGTAATTGCGCAACTGTACAAAAGTCTGATGTTTCACTACCACTAGCTATAGTGTAGGAAGAAGTGTTTTAATAAATAGTTCGATAGTGGTCGAATTCTTTGATATGTATGTAGGCTGGGTGTCACCTTAGTTTTCTTCGCAAGTATTCTAGCTGGTAACGCCCCAGATAATCATCACAGCATCTTTTCGGCAAAAAATAATCCGACCGTTTATAATCCACCCGTTTTTGTCAAGTTATTGGTAGAATAGTCCAGTTGTGGTAATTGGCGGTAAGGAACGAGTGGATCTGTTTGTAGTCCAGAGTGTAGCAACCATACTGGTCAGACACTGAAATCATTACGATTTCCTTGGATAAATGGAAACGATTCACAGCTTCAATGCGAAAGTGCATGCCTTTATAGCACGACAATAAGAGCAGGTTGCTATGACGCCACAACATCATAGTTTTCGATGTGAGAACAATCCAACGAAAATCAGATATCAATTCAATCGTCAACACCAGAGCTATTTTCAAACTTTAGTCTCACCCCCATTTTATGGCCAGCGGAAGATTTAACCCGTTTGGTTTCATCCAGACGGTCGAGAGCACTTCACGTATGTAAACGAAAAAGAAATAAGATCAGCACACGAACGTCATCGGCTAAAATGCTTTTGTGATGTACATTTCTACC